TCCAGCTCTGCACCATACAGCACAGAGTTGTGTTTCACAGAACTGCTCAGGACAAACTTCAACAAAATCCACTGCATCTCCCTCCAGAGCTCCTTTGCAAAGGCATATTCCAGCAGGAGATATGTGACAGTCTCTAACCACCCTACAGCTGCTTCAAGGGCAGTGTGTGGTGGCGTTGAGAGTCCAGGTGTACATGAAGGATCCCACAGATCATGCCTTTCTCACCACCAGCCAAGCAATGCCTTGGTGCTTGTTGGAAAGTTCTGGTAATGAGGCATTCGGCCAAATTCGGCAGTCTGCTCAGGGAACCATGTGACAGGATTCACCGTCTCCTTTTCCCGCAGCGTCTTGAGGACCCTACATGCTGACAACTGATGGATTTGTGGTAAAAGGTGCTTTTCTTTGTAAATTTCTCACAAAGGAGAGGTGATGCGGAATGGGTCCAATTACTTGGAGTGTTCCATGGCAACAAGGCCAGGTCCATCCTTCGCAACACCGGGGACAAGTAGAACCTCAGTACAGTGACACTTGGTGTTTTCCAACCGAGGGTCTACGCACAGCTTGATGCAGCCACTCACAAAGGTGGCCATCAGGATGAGGATGACATTTGGTATGTTCTTCCCGACCTTATCCAGAGGTTTGTACATGGTGTCCCTGTGGACATGGCCCATCTTAGACCTCCAGATGAAGTGGAAGTAGGCTTGGGTGACTGCATAGGCGCAGGTTCGGGGAATAGGCCAGGCCTGCTCCATGTATAATGGCAGACAGAGCATCTCACTCCTGATTACCCACAATGGAAAGGGAACGGTGCTCCCAAAAGCCCAGTTTCTGCCTCACCTTGGCAATGTGCTCCTCTCAAGATTTTGCACATGCCCTGGTCCCTCCGAACCATATTCCTAGTACCTTCAGGTCATCTGTCCTGACAGTGAAGGGGATAAAGAATCAGTTGGCCCAGTTCCTAAATAACGTGGCCTTGCTCTTGCCTCGATTTACCTTGGTTCCTGAGGCCAGTTTGAACTGGTCGCAGATGCTCATGAGTCTGCGCACTGATGGCGGATCCAAACGGAAAACAGCGACATCATCCATGTACAGGGAGGCTTTGACTTGCAAACTCCTGCTGCCTGGACTAGTCACCCCTTTCAGGCTCGCATCCTTCCTGATGAACTCAGCAAGAGACTCCATAGAACACACAAACAAGGCAGGGGAGAGAGGGCTGCCCTGCTTGACTCCAGATCTGATTGGGAAGCTTTCTGATTTCTACACATTGACTGCATAGAAAAGCCTCACATGACTCCACACATCTTTTCAATAGGCACTCAACAACACCCTTCCCATATGAATAATACCACACCAAGTTTAAAGAAACTACGCAGATAGAGCTACAGTCAACAACAGAGTAATTGGCCAAGCAGAGCTTGAAGACTTGGAGATTAGTGACCCAGCCAAACCCACAGGATTAGGGAAGACTAGGTCAAGGGCTTTACTAAGCAGAATGCCTGAAGATTACTTTGATCACTTTATTCACCTCAGCAAATATGCAACAGGCTTCACAGCCTAAAGCCATATCCTCAAACCTGTCAACTCCTTAGTTCGCCTTTCCTATGCAATTGCAACCCATTCCTTTATCTTTTCACTAGGTCCTAGTGTGAGGACAAGGTCTGTAGGAATTTCTGTTCTGATTTCTTAAATAACTCCACAAAGGCCAGCATCCCATCACCAAGTCACCCTTTATTTACACATGCATAGTACATGACACTGACCCAGCTAGCACACACCCTGCTCCCAGTGTGAGCAGAACATCTGACACTCCTGTTTATATCTGTCAGCCAGGGCTCCCTGATTGGACCAGGTTAAACAGCTCCAATTAAGGAACTCGTATTCTATGAGGTCCACCAGGCTGACCTCATTACAATCACTACATATTCTTTCATGAGATATGGGTATCACTGGGAAGGCCAAAATTCATCATCCACCCCTAATCGCTCTTGAACTGAATGGCTTGCAAGGCCACTTTAGAGGATATTTTGAAAAAGAAAACAATCAGTTCTGACATGTTATGCTACAATTCTGGGGTGGGTGGAACTGAAAACTGTGGGCTTGGAATCAAATCTAGGCCAGCCCAGTTAAGGGTCTCCTTTCCGAAAGGACATCAGAGAATGAAATGGATTTTGACGACAACTGGTGAGGGTTTCGCAGTCACAATTACTGAGATTACCTTTATCTTGAACTTGAACCCATGTCTCCAAATTCCTAGTTCAGTGGCATTATCACTACACTCGTAAGTAGGCAAATGTATCATTCTGATTGGTTTACTGAATGAAAGGGACTCTCTTTGAAATTAAGATCGAGAAATATGTTGCGCCACACCCCTTCCAGTAAAAACAGGAGCATTGGCAGATGCTCTTTATTGTTGTTAGATGCAGCTCTTTGAAATTAAGATCGAGAAATATGTTGCGCCACACCC